TGTGTTGAAAGGTTTACATTACAAGGTAACTGTGTGTGTGTGTGTGTTGAAAGGTTTACTTTACAAGGTAACTGTGTGTGTGTTGAAAGGTTTACATTACAAGGTAACTGTGTGTGTGTGTGTGTTGAAAGGTTTACTTTACAAGGTAACTGTGTGTGTGTTGAAAGGTTTACATTACAAGGTAACTGTGTGTGTGTGTGTGTGTGTTGAAAGGTTTCCATCCAAAGGTGGTTGTGTGCATGTTGAAAGGTTTATGTGTAAAGACATATTGGTGCTCGTCAGGATAATGGAATCGAAGAATCATCATTTTTCTGCTCACTGGGCCATTTTTATTTAATTATTTTTCAGTGTTCAACGCCTTTTGTGTCCATTTAAAAACTCACTTCTGTGTGGGATTAAATAAAAAAATAATTGATCAAAGGCACAACAAATTGTAATGTGCAGTTTCCAAGGACCCTCACACTTTGGGAGTTCCTTCATTTGCTGGTATCTCAGTTTCTATTCCAGATAGATGGGTATTTATTTCATCAAAAGCACAGACAAATGAACAAGTTTTAAGATGATACCAGTAACACATACAGGAAAACATAAAAAATAAAAGAGAGTATGACAATGACATAGAACAATTCATAGACATATGGAAAAAAAGAAAAACAAAACTCTCAACACCCGTGACCCCAGTGACCAATTTTCCCTCCCCAGCGTCCGTGCACTCCACCAGCTCCCCATCTCAGCCGGCAGCCAGTCGGCACCAGACGTCTTCCCAGCCGGTCAAGGGCGTCAGCGGCCAGTCAGTCGGTCAGTCGGTCGGTCAAGAGGACAAGCCAGGAGACCGTGACGGGAAGCGAAGGACGGGTGTGGAGGAGGAGAAGGACGGGTTCGGTCGACTGGTGGCTCAGTACTTTCCTCTGATCAGACTCTTACACTTGCAGGTCGGTGTTTGAGAACGACTTATTTCTCAGATTCTAACCCTGTGGACATAGATATGTCCAATTTATGAGTTGAGTTTGTACAATTGATTAGAAATGAAGTGATCCAAATTGTAGGATGTGAAAGATCCATAATCAGAAAATGACAACTGAGATTTTTTTGCTACGTTAATAGATCAAATAGATCAGAGATACTACTGCTGTGTGGAAAGATAGAGGCAAAGAATAGCAGAGGAAGACAGGGAACAACATACACAGATGACCTGAACAACTTTGTAACGAATTATAACGCAAAGAGAAAAGCCGAGCTGATCAAGAAGACGGACACTGACGACAGGAAGGAGGGGAGTACCATGATTGTCAATGTCTGCTCCAGACCTGACCCCTGGAGAAGAAGGAGATTAGAAATGAAACTTAAAAAGAAATTTGAAGAGAATGGAGGACCACGGCCGTCAATGTCTGGCACCTGAGGATGATGACCTTTGGCCAATCAACAATTTCTGAAATCTTACTTACTTTCTTACTTCCTCTCTCCCTAACTATACAGACAGGTATATAAGGCTTAGAGCAGTTGACGCCAAGCTTGCCTGTCCCTGGCCACGTCCTCCAATCTGGGCACATCCAGGCTCAGGGTGATTGCCTCATTCCTTATTGTGCCTCTGTAACTTACAGTTGGTCTACCTCTTTTTCTTTTTCTAGTTGGTCTCCAATATCATGTCGGAAATCTTGTGGTGCGTGGGTGGTTGGCAGGTGCTCTGGTGTGGTTTGCTCCTTCTTTCCTATCAAACATCTATGGTTCTTATCTCCCCTTCTTCTTTTTTTATGTTTGTTACTCTCTTGTAACAACTCTAATCTTCTGACGCTCTTTTGCCCCTATGCTGTTGTGAGCACCGTAAAACTTCTACTAAAACCTCTTAAAGAAATCTTATGTGTACTTGTTGTTCTCAGTTTGAGCTGCAGCCGTGTGCGATCTTCCTGCCCAAGACGAGCGCGCCACACGCACTTCTATGACCTTATTGTGTTGCAAGTGCCGTGAAACTCTTACTAAAACTTAAAAACTTCTACTAAAACAAAAATTAATCTTGTGTGTATTTGTTTGTCTCAGTTTGAGCTGCAGCCGTGTGCAATCTTCTTGCCCAAGACGAGCGTGCCCCATGCAGAGTCCAGCCCCGACGTCCTGTCCATGGTGCATCAGGCGCGCCAAGCTGGCCGTCTGTCCGACACGCTGGTCGTCTGTCTGCCAGGAGTCGCCATCACCAGCGCCATCTGTCGACCCATCAACGTGGCTCAGGAGCTGCCAGTCACCTCTATACAGGGCTCTCTTATAGGTA